GGAAACTCTTAAATTAATTAGGCCTTGTCACTTTGTGACCGTGTAGAGCCCATCTGCTCTTCTTGGCTTTGTCTGGTCTCATGGATAGAGAATATTTAGTGAAATTGCCAAGTTTCTTTGTCCTACCTCCATAGGGTATGACTTTTCTTGAATAATCTCCATTCCAAATATTCTGCCTTATTGTTACCAGAAGCAATCCAAATGTCCCCAAAATTAAAAACATTTCAGCATGTAAAGTATGTTCTCCCAGACAGTCTCGTCTACCTAACGCTGACCACATATTCTATGCTAGCCCATGGGCAGTCTTCAAAAATAGTCAAGATATCCATTGGGTCTGTGGGTTCTGTCAAGAACGTTTGTCATGCTTTTTGGCCACTTGGCATCTGAACCCCCTTCCAATGTTTGGGGAGTCCTCCCTGTGAAGCAGATCTGATCTCCCTCTACAGAGGCTAGCAATCACGGATATTTGTTTCACCACCTTCCCTTGCAGCTGCAGGGCTGGCCATAAGCTAGGTTCCACCAATCAAATGCACCTAACCAAGACTTTACATTGGAAACTAGTGACACATCAAAGCAGGAGTCACTCTGGCAACGGGACAACTCCATCCAGCTTGCTGATGCACCAGCGGCAGCAGAGTCAAGGGTTGTTTCCAGCATCTACTGTCAGTGTGGCATGAGGACAAGCTACAATATCTGCATCCATCAGGAATAGCACTGGGTTTTCACCAGACCAGTTCTCCAGCACAATTTGCATATTGTTCCTGGCTTCGTAGCTCCTGAGTCTGGCCCTTGGACCTTTCTGGAAATTTTGTGAGCCAGGGCCAGTTTCATAGCTATGCAACCTATGCCATCACACAGGGCCCCAGGTTCAGCAGGGCCCTGTGCTTGGTTTAATGCTCTGCTATTGTCGTCTTGCAATTTTTACAGTTCTTTTAACAAGAGGCCTCACTTTTCCATTTTGCTTGGATCCTGAAAATTATGTAGCCAATCCTGCTATGAGCTAGCTTTAGGTCAAGGAGTGCTTAACTTCTTATGCCCATGAGCCCTTGGTAGTGTGGTGAAACCTAGAAAGCTTAGGAGGAATGTTTTTAAATGCACAAAATGAAATATACAAAAGGAAATCAATTATATTAAAATACAGTTTAAAATTTTAAAAAAATATGTTATAGCACTATGTGTGTTTTTCGTATTAATGCATTAAAAAAATCTAATGGCAGATTTAAAAAACATCTGTTACTGAAAAGTAGTAATGAGCATAAATATTATTGGGAATGTCTACCACAAGTGAAATATGACTTGAAAATATATGTGATTTCCAAAGATGACAGAGTCACAGGTACCCAGTTTGTTGTGTCCATTCATAACTTAAAAAAATGTTAAATACAGTGAAAGACTATTGAAACAAAAAAGGAATTCATTTGAGTCACAGAGACCCTACATTTTAAGCAAGAAAAGCAAGTTAAAAGCCCTGATTCAAATACATTTCTTTTCCATTTATATCGCCCAAAGCTGTCATTTTGTGACTTACAATCAAGAACCCTGTAGGATACAGGGCACCAGGCACCAGGACCAGCCTAGATATGGCCTAATTCTCCATGCAAATACAATAGTGATAGTGGGCTCCAGGTGACTCAAAGACATAGCCAACGTCGCCCTGCCCTCAGCTGTTAGGATCTTCGAGGGGAGAGCAAGTGTCAATAATGACACTCCAAGATGATGTCTGGAAAACATGTCATAGGCACTACATGTGTGGTATGAATCAAGTGATCTAGAAGGCTGAGCAAGTGGAGGAGGTCCCTTCTAGGTGGGACAATCAACTATTAATCATGGCAGTATACAACGAGATGGGAAATAAGACACATAGCAAAATAACTGTGACTTCAAAGTCCACAGAAAGCTAACAGAATGTTGAATATTTCCCTTGCTCTAACTCAGGATCATTTATTAAAGATTCAATCACCTCTCAGGTATTTCCTTGGGGGCGCTGTCTGTTTGGTTTTGTTTTTGTTTTTGAGACCGAGCCTCACTCTGTCACCCAGGCTGGAGTGCAGTGGCCCGATCTCAGCTCATTATAACCTCTGCCTTCTGGTCTCAAGCAATTCTCCTGCCTCAGCCTCCTGAATAGCTGGGATTATAGGCGTGCACCACCACACCCAGCCAATTTTTGTATTTTCAGTAGAGATGGGGTTTCACCATGTTGCCTGGGCTAGTCTCAAACTCCTGACCTCAAATGATCCTCCCGGCTCAGCCTCCCAAAGTGCTGGTATTACAGGCATGAGCCACTGCGCCTGGCCACCTCACAGTTTGTTTCTTGCATATCTCATAGGAAATCACAAAATACACTCCCCCATGTGCTATTTTCTTCTCCCCTCTTCTACTCCTCCTTTTGGGATAGGGAAGAGCCCTCTGGGGCAAAGGAAATATCTATCTTTTGGACACACTTGAGAAACTCGGGTTTAGCAAAAGTAGACAATAATCCATCTACTGATATCTTGAACTTCTCAAAGTTGTTTTATATCCATTATCACACTTGTGTTCTAGGCATACATTGTTATCCCTATTTTACAGATGAGGAAACGCACGTTCAGTGAAGTTGTGACTTGCTCAAGGTTACAAGGCCAGGTTACAAAACTGGAGGAAAAACTGAGGTTTCTTGCCTGTTAGCTCAGTGCCCTTTCCTCTGACCATGCCTCCCTGTGAATACATCATAAGTAAAGGGAAAGCTGCATCTGAAAGTGAAGTACATTCAAGCAGGTGCTCTAAAAACCAAGAAATGCACACCCCACTTTCTGGACAGCAGGTGTCAGCTAGGAAAGGAGACACTCAAAAAAGAACACAGATCACCAAATCCTCTGGCCCCTAATGGCTCAATTCAATCCTTCAACATAGGATAGAACTCACTTGGCCAGTGACCAGTGCAGTCAATCCCCTTCCTGCCTGGGAGTTACACTCATAACAACAGCAACAGCAGGAAAAAGGCTTCATGAACATAAAAATAAATAAACTTTCTATTTTTAGCAGGGCTGCAGCTGGGAGAGCTTCATTCTCTGCTCTTTAGCTGCAGCATTCTAAGGGAGGCAAGGGTGGAGGGGCTGGGGGATGAGGAAAAGTAGGGGCAGTCACACTGGAAGCCACATTTTCCGTTGCCAAACTAATTACATGCAGACCACAGAAACCAACGTCCAGCCTAGAAGTCTCTGGAGTCTGCAGGTCTGGAAAAACTGGAGAGCGTCGACCAGGAAGTCAGCCCCGTGATTGGGCTATTTTGTGGCCATATATAGAAATAAATAATCTTTTGCCCACATGGTTTTTAGAACCACTGAAAACTGTTGCAGGGGTGGAAGATAAGCTTGTAGATTTTTTTCCCCTCTTCTCTTAGGCTCTAGTTGGAACCTGTGTGATTCTCACAGGAACTCAGATCCAGCATCTTTCAGACTTACACTCTGTGTCCAGAATTCCTGTTAAGACTGCAGCAGTTTTTCCCTGCCCAGCCCTTGCCAACAGCTGGCAACATCAAGAACCTGAGAAAGAGCACTGTAATGCTGGAAGTGGGGAATAATAGCAGCTGCAGTGTCTTCTTTCTGTTCGTCTGGAATAGGATTGGACGTTGCGAGAAGGGAGTTCCAAGGCAAAGGAGCAGCAGACAGGTTCTTTCCTAGAACTGGCACAGCAGCTTTAGGAGAAGTGTGCACCTGATCTGCTTTCAGAAGTGCCTCTTAGCCTTGCCCCTGCCATACTCTGAGCCCGTCACCTTTAATTATGTACTTTCCCCTCTCATGACTTTTTTTCACTCATAATTCCAATTATACTTTCAGCCTTTCATGAGGACACCGAACAGCAGACCCCAGAGACACACAGGAAGGAAAGAACCCAATGCTTTGGGCACTCACAAAGAGGTAAGTGCAAAGTCAGGCACCATGCTCATCTCTGCTCAGAGAAAGCTTCTAAAGCTCCCAGATCTGGCCTTGTGGCCGAGGGTTTTCATTCACTAACGAATGTTGACTGACAACTTACTGTCTGCCAGACACTCCCTGCTCACAAGAGCTCCCAATGCAGTGTGGGGAACAGAGAAACAGGCAATTTTACTACTGCAGAGCAGGCTTCATGCTGGGTCAGCACAGAGTCCTGTGGGAATACAAAGGACTGGCTTCTACCTCCATCTTGGGAAGTCAAGGAGGTGGTGGCTGAGCTGGGACCCAGGCAGGTAGAGATTGGGTAGAGGTCAGAGTTTCTCCTCAAATGTTTCCCATGTAAGGGCAGCTCCCAAATAATAACATAGCAGTGTTTATGTTATTATGTTTAATACATATGAGCTTAATACAAGCCCCTCAAAGTTAGTTGATTTCTAGGGCCCAATAACATGTACTAAGCAAAGCAATTGCTGTCAAATCATGAGAAAGAGAAGATAACTCATAATTTATTTGAATGTCAAATTTCCAGGACCAACGATATAAGCCCTGGAATATTGGGGTTGAAAGAGGTCATGTGGACTACTGAATCCTCTCTCCTGCTATGGCAGTCCCCTCCACAGCACCCCTCCAGGTTGTCATCCAGCCTCTGTGTGAATTGTTTCAGTGATGGAGAACTCATCACTGATCAAGATAACTAGTGAGTTAGTTAGTTTTAAAGGCAGGAGCTAGGGTATATGGTAGCCTTTTACCAGGTCAGAGTTTCTGACTTCTGTCTCCTAGTCTCTCTCCCCTCTAATAAATCCTCCAAAAGGTCACCACATTAACTATCTTTGAGATTGGTCACTCCATTATTCAAAATCTGCAATGGCCCCAATTACCTACCTACAAATTCTAATCTACTTCTAAAAGACAAAAATAGCCCATACCAAAATGTTACATTTTGGTTAACAGAATTATGGATATTTTGTTTTTCTCCTTCATTGTTTTGAGTCTTTCCCTAGTTTTCTACATTGGCAAGAAAGAGGTGGGTGGGGGGCTGTGGGGAGAGACAGAGAGAGAGAGAATCATCAAATAATTAACAAGACTTACCAAAAAAGTCCTATCAAACCGTGTTCATGCTGCGGCCAACTAGAAACCATTCCGTCTTTTCCTATCTTCAGATCTGCACTTCCCATATTCTGGTCAACACACCTCCATCAGGAAGGTTTCCATGAGTGCTGCAGCCCTCACTGCCCTTAAATCCAAAATACAAAATTTAGCACTTCATTATAGGCAGTTTCTACTACCTGCTAATCATTTCAAAGGTCAGTTCCACATTAGATTGTAAATTCCTCAGGAGCTTCTATATCCTATCCTATAGTATCATAGTGCCTACCTAGCATAGTGCAGAGGTTATGGCAGGTTCTTCATAAATATTTATGGATGGATGGATGGGTGGGTGGATGGATGGATGGATGGATGGATAGATGAAATACTATGGCTGTATTTATGAGTTCAGTTGGTTGGAGCACACTTCTAATGCAGTTTCATAGGTCATCTGTTACTATGCTTCTCAAACTGTGGTGTACACATTCCCAAAGGTGTATGAAAATGTGTGTCAAGTGTATGTGAAGCCACAAGATATTAAATAATGTCTTCCTAAAGCAACAATTTCCTACCTTTTAGGGATACTTCAGTGGGGAAATTTGAAGCACTTTTATAGCCATGCTTTCCCAAGTGCAAGAATTCCCCAAAAAGAAAAAGAAAAAAAAAAAAAAAAAAAGAATTCCCTCCAAGGCTGATATCCATATTCTGCATGAGTTCATCAGTCTGGGCTTTGATTCCAGTTACTTTCAGTATGCTATGCAGAGATATTCCTGGAATGTGTCTCTCCAGGTACATTCTTGCATCCTACAAGTAGAGACTTTCGGGCTAGAAGCCAGGCCCCTTGGTTCTAGTCCAGTCATCCAACTACCACGGGCAGCAGCCTCTTCAGGCCCCAGATGCTCATTGACCTTACTCCCTTGACAAAGGTTGGAGCAAAGTAAATAATCTATATGAAACATCACTGCAAACTGAAAACTTACAAAGCTCCAGGTATTATTATTGTCACTGTTATACCAGAACTGGTAATTTAATTCTGTCCCACAGACATCCCACACCCACCCAGTTGATTAAGGTGAGTAGCAATAGGGCTCTGAATTCAGAAAATTCTGGATTGAAACTTTAGTTTCACTGTGCAAGAGTCTCATTCATTTTTGCAAACCTAGTATTTTGCATGATGCTGGGAACATGTCTGTGCCAAATAAATGTATTTCTCACTATTATTTATTGAAATCTCTGTCTGCCACTTACTGATCTTTGACAGATTTTTAAATTTTCCAAATCTGTTTCCACATCTATTAGATTGGTATTATAATAGTACCTCATAGTGTTGTTAGAAATGTAAAGGCAATATGTACAAGCAGTTTAGCACAGTGCCTGGCACGGAGAAAGTCAATAGTAATTAAAACACAGAGAGTGAGTGTACTTTTGAAACTTGACAAATGAAGGCCATCCAGGCTATCCCATTGTTTTGTGATTGTTTTTGTCTGCCCTTCCTTTTACCTGTTATGAGTGAGCTGTTTGTGGCAACATTGATGTTCTGAGTCACTGAACTAGTTAAGGAAGCAAATTTCAAAGCCACAGTTACTTTGTGGGCCCTCAGGGCAAGAGGAATGAACAATTTGAGGCTTCACAGAAACTTCTGCCAGAATGAATGCGCTAGGCAGGGCAAGCTGGTGTTTCCCAGGAATCTCCCTGACAAAGTGACAAGAAGTGCTCTACCGAGACCAAATAAATACTACATGAAACCCGCACGATGGGCTCTCTCAACAAATCAATATGTAAACCCATCCCCAAGGGAAGAGCAGATGACAAGGGAAACCACAAAGAGAGGGAAACTAAGAACTCTGTGGGGCTCTCCTCCCACCTGAGACCCCTGCCACAAATTGGAATCCAGAGGCCTGTTGTTTACATCTGAACAAAGCCAATGCTGAATCCCAACAAAGGGTCCTGAAGAGTAGCCCTGGCTGGTTTATGACTGCCAGAGACAGTGCTATAAAAATAGCTTTAAAGACACAACTCAGGGTGCAGGGCTATGAGCCAGAAACGGAACATGGAAACTGGGCCTTTTCATGCCCCAGAAGCATAAACAAACAAGCCACCACCAGCCTGACCCTCATACTGGAAGAAGTGGGGCATGGTGCACTATCTCTAGAACTTACAGGAGTGCTCAAGAAAGCATAAAATGCATGGAGCAGAGGGGCATGTGTGTGGTGAAAGACAGGTAGATTATTAGAGGAGACATCCAAGAGCTTTTTAAACCTCCTCCAGTGCCAAGATTTGGAGCCACAGCTGTGAAGGGAACACTTTGCCTGGCATCCTGGATGCAGCATTGAAGACATTTTGGATGCAGCATTTAAAAAGGCTCCCAATGAAAGTATACTGTTAACTCCTCTTTTTTAAAAAAGAAAATAAAAACTTTCATATTTAGAGTAGCTTATGTCAGAATTAGGTAATTCAGGAAGAAGACCTGAACAGAAATCTCATTGCAAGAGCCAAATATGATAACCAGTATGAAGGCAGACACTCAAATCTGTTTAGAAGTTGAAAGTCAAAATAAAGAAGCAATGCATTTTAAATGGGCTGTAAAGCACAGGAAAAAAAAAACAAGATTTGGCTGCCTTCATAAGGCAAAGGCCACAGAAGCTGAGGAATTAGGGAAGTAGTGTTGGTGCTGCTCATCAGCTCCAATCCAAGCCCTGTGGAGGCCAGGACTCTTGGCCACAAAGACCCCCAGGTATACACTTCATAAGGCACCACTGGGCCACCCTGAGCCCCCACCACATGGAGTGTCTTCCTGCAGCTCTCTTTATCTCCGCTTCCTACAGCTGTCCTTATGGCTCTGCCACTCACCCTCCTGGAATCCATTTATGTTGCCAGTTTGTATCACCTCTGGGAGATAATTCATTCCATAAATTTATTACTTGCTGCATGAAGTAGTATTTCCGCTGACTTGTCCTGAACTTGCCCCACTTGTAGTTCCAAAGCACTGCTATATTTCAGGATCTGATGAACAAGTCTGTGCTCATCGTATCCACATCATTTGTAGTCTGATCATTTCCTCCTAACAGCCTTCTCCTTGTCAGCAGCCCTGTGACTTCCACTCAGTTCCTCAGAGCATCCAGGTTGCTATTTGGGGACTTTCCCTAACCCCATTTTAACCTTCTCGACCTTCTCACAGTGTTGCAGGCAAGAATACACCAGTTATTGGTAAGAGAAAGATAATGTTCTCAATTTAAAATTTCCCACACCTGAAGAATGTATCCAATTTTGTGCAGCATTGTCCGGGGTACAACCACATTATAAAAGACACAGCTTCCAGGCTCAGAGTTTGCAAACTCATGGGAAACTGTCTTCAGGCAGCACAGGTTGATCAGTACTAGCCAATACTGCAAGTTAACCTGTCTGAAATAGGGCATTGCCAAAAAAGAAATCCAAGTGTAGTCAGTCTTAGCTTCAAAGCAGACTAAGTTCAGTACTTAGCACTCCATTGATTTTCTGAGAGGGAGGCAACACCTGTTTTCTGCAACATACGGATGTGAAACCAGAGATCAACAGGTGCTAAAGCTAGTGAGGGGTGGTCAAAAAGGGGTTCCAATTTCCAGTCTTAGTTTACAAATCTGCTTATTTTGGCTTCTTTAAAAAAAAAAAAAACTTAATATTTTGTTCCACTCCATTTAGTGCCCACAGAGAAAGTCAATAGTTTCTTGACCACTTTCAACTATCCTTAGTGAAAACAAGAAAAATAATAAGGATTAAGCAAAATGTAATGGCCCTGTTGCTGCCTGGGGCTGTTCATGAGTTCATAGGAGTTGGGATTTTACTGCCAAGAGAATAAAATGGTAAGTGAGTACTCCAACCTGCTTTTTCATAAGGGATGTATCATCCACCCAGAGTGAAAACATCCTGGCCAGATGCCCACTTCTTTTCTTCTGCATAATTGCATCTTCTAGTCGTGTCAATACAGCAACAGACTTTGCAGCCTTGGCAGTCTAGTGTGAGAAAATTCACCATCCAGCCCACCTATAAGTCCCAATTTCTCTGCCACAGGAGTTGCAGGTTTTCAGCACTAGACTTTTTTCCTTACTAATTGAGATAGCTAGAGACACCATCTTATGGATGGCCCCTGGTTTCCTTTCTACTATCAGACAACTATGTCCATGAAGCCCTGAGCTCAACTTGATTGCCCTGTTTTTCTCATTTAGTTTCTTCCTTCCTTTTCTCTTAAAAGCAACCCTACATACCCATCACCCTGGCCAGGAACAATCTATAATGTTGCTCCAGACTTCCAGAAAAGCATTTTCTATGGCATCCCCACAATAGGCATCATTCAAGACTCACACATGATCCCTGCTCAAGAGCGGAATTCCTTCACAGAAGGCAGATTCCTCCTCTATAGGTGATATGGTGGTAAAAGGATGCATTGAGGGGTTGGAAACACTTGGATTCAAATCTGGCTCAATCATTTATTAGCTATGTGACCTTGAGGAATTTCCTTAGCTTCCTCTGAACCACAATTTCCTCACCTGTACAATGAGGATAATACAACATCTCATAAATGTGTTGTGAAAGGTTGAATAATATACACACAATAATATGTGTGTAACCCTCCAGGCAAAAGACTTCCATTCCCGTATCTTCAGGTCGGTATTCAAGGCCTTACTATCATCCATCCCAGGCCTGTCTTCCTCATGGCCTTGTTAGACTCTATATTCTGGCCTTAAGCTCCAGGAGCTTTAGAGGAACCTACTGTACACAGGTAGACAATTCCAGGCTTAAAGTGTCCTTACTAATTTCAGCTTCTCCCAACTTGGGAATCTAGTCTTCCTTTGAAAGAAAACCTTTATTTTCTCCTTTTTCTAAGTATTTTTGGCATTCAAGCTGGATAGTGGGTTTTCTCTTTGGCCTTTCAACTCAGAGCCACGTGGTTTCTACTGAAAAAACAGAAAGGAATCTCTTGAAGCTCAGTTGTAGCAATTGGTCGCAGCTGTCATTTTAATGCCCACTTACAGGAGCCAAAGGACACCAATACTCAGGCACAGTCAATGGTGGGCAAGTCCCGCCTCAGCACCTGGCACCTGGTACCTGTGCACCTGGCAAACACAGCCGATGGAACAGCATCTCAGGCTCTTGTCAGGAAGAACCTCCCAGGATGACACGAGGAGGCACCTGAGATGCTCCACAGCCAGGTTCTGGCATCCCCCTCCCCGTTTTCCCACCCACAGTATCCCTGGAGGCAATAAACAAGCCCTGGATCATCAGAGCTTCGTGTCTGGAGTCCCCTATTCAACCGTGGAGCAGGCCTTTTCATTTCCTAGCATCCCATGTGCTCGGAACTAGACCCAAGAGATCTGAATAACAAGTAGATGGAGAGCAACCGAGGATGAGAGGGAAGAACCCCTGAGAACTTTTCGGAAAAAAGCACAGCTTTCCCCTCCATCTTTGGTTCTGACAGCTCCTGGGGCGCAGTTCTCCTTAAAGCCTCCAGGGAGCAGAGGCAAAGATTCTAAAGAGGCGAAAGGTAGCAAACAGAGTGCCTATCTGTCCTGATGTTACCTGCACCCCTTGAAGCACCTGGCGTTGACTAGAGGGGCCTGTCATGCTCATTTGTCCGGATAAGACATCTGAGCCTTCACCCAACCTGCCGCCTGGTCTCCCTCTCCAACGCCTCCCACCCCTTCCAGGAAGCCCTCTCTATTAGGCACCTGTTTTCCCTGAAGCCTGGTTTGCCCGGAGTTCAGTGTCCAGTCCCTGGAACACTGGCACGTCTGTGAAATACACTGGGGCTGGTTCCGCAGCGGCTGTGTCCTGAAGGAGGCGTGTTCCGGGACTGAGGGGGCAAGGACGCGTAATGGCGGGGGCGGGAGCCACTGGCGGGAAGACTGGGAAGGGAGGGCGCGTCTGGGGCGTGTGCGCCCAAGGCCAGAGGCACCCGAGGTGGGCTGGTCCCGGATGGAAAGCCTGGGCCGAGCCCCAGGAGCGGGCAGGACCGCGAGCCAGATTCAGGAAGTCGTGCCTCTGACATCAGGGACAGCACGGAGTTGGAGCGAAACCTCAACTATGCGCGGCGTCGGCCCGCAGGAGGGCAGGGAACACAGAGGGCGCTGTCCTTGGCGGCAGCGGCAGGTACGCGCCGCGGCGGGGCGGGGCGGGGCGGGCGGCTCCCGAGACCTCGGCCGGCCCTGGGGCCCTCCACGCCAGACCTGGCTCGGGGTGGGAGGACAGGGGCAACCAAAAAGGAACCCAGAACTCGCCGCACGGCCCAGGGCGCTGTCAGACAGGGCAGCACCCGGGAGATCCCGGGGCGACCACGCCTGCAGGAAGCCCTTCTGCGGACGGAAAGGTGAGTTTCTGCACTTTTTGTTGTGTATTTTTAAAATGCATTTTTAAGAGCCCTCTCTTTGGAAGGGGACGAACACTTACTTCTTTCTTTAGAAGCACGAGACCTGCCCTAGAGATACAAGTAGCCTCTTGCGCCTTCACAACTAGCTCTGGTGTGTTTCCCTCCTTCGCGAGGACTCACAGGAGCCTTCCCCTCTGCGCCTGGGCTGAGTCCACATGGGCGCCGCGGAGGTCGCCGGGAGTTACCTTACCCCAGCTGCCGGTGGGAGCGCTTTGAAGGGGACAGGTGGACATTGTTTGCTACTGAGAAGGCCAAGGCCTGAGACCCTCCAGAAAGCATCGCGGGCTTAGGTGTTTCTAAATCATTCTAGGTGAAGCCAGATTTTCTCTGGGGCTAAGGAACTGGCCAAAACGAAAATATGGCCTGGAGCCCGGGGCGGAGAGGAAACCTGTTTGCTGTTCTGAGAGTTTGCAGGGAGCTTGCTGTGACATAGATTGCTAATTAACTTCTTTGACTCTCTCAACGGTCCCACTCCCAGACCCGCATCCCACCCGTGAAGGTAGAATGGGGGACGTAATAGGGCCTGTTTCTAACATTCTGAAGAGCTTTACGGGGATTCATCATATGATCATAGAGTTAAGTAAACTATAGATGATAGCTAGTGGGAAGACCAGTCCCGCGTAACCGAAAGGGAAACTGAAGCACAGACAAACTCACCCTAATTTAACCGAGAACACCGGTGGCCAGCAGATCATGCTACTTAGCGGGATTGCGCCACGGATTGTGTTGCATGAGGAAGGGAAGGAAAAGAGCACTGGGGCATCTTGGAAGCGCCTCCTTTCTAGAGCAGTTGCATTTGATTCGTTCAGCTGCAGCTCATAAGGACCTGAAGCTAATTTAAAGAACCCTGGTTCTGAAGTTCTGTTAGATAATGGGAGAGGCTTGAGTTACAAAGGGCAGAACTTAAAAACAGCATTGATATAACTTGTTCCTAACCCTTTTGCAAATGGTTTGCAAGTTGTGTCTACAGACTTCTGCAAGGGTTTTATCAGCCTTTAAGCTAGTTCACCTGCATCAGCCACTTAGTCTGATGTGCCTGCCCTTCACCCAGTGCTGGGCTGGAGAGGCAGCTGTACCAGAAAATCTGATCAAGTCTTGCCTTTTGTCTGAAATTCGGCCTCTCCTTCCTCACCCCAGATACAATTTTAGGAAAGAGATGCATTGTAAAACAAATGTTTATCTGGCCTCCATACATTGTCAATATTTAGCCTGTGAAATAAAGAGTATGACTTCTGTCCTCTTCCCTAAAGATAAACTCAAGAGAATAATAAACACTCAACAAGCTAAATTACTGATTTCACCAAAGAGGGAGGTGCATCCATTCCATACATTCAGTCAATATTTAACAAACCTACTGCATGCTGGCCAGTATGTCAGGGCCTCGGAGTCCAAAGATAATGAGATGGTTTCCGCTTTTGAGGAGCTTCAGTCTGGTGAGACAGATACAGAAACTACAGTTCAGGACAATATACATCATAATAGCAGTGGCTACAGGGCTCTGACTAATCCAGGGGAAAGGGCAGGAGATCCTTCCCCAGAATTATCTGTTATGTCCACATCACAGAAGTGATGGATGAGCAGGGTCTTGAAAATGACTAGGAGTTGCCAGGGAAAGCGTTTGAACAAAGGAAAGAGTGTATGCAAAGTCCATGGCAGGTAGAGGAACAGCGTGTAATAGGAATTACACTGCTAGACAGAGAAGGGCGAACTCCCTCCTATGGGAAGCTATTTTTGTTTTTGTTTTTAAGCAGAGGAAGGATCTGGTCAGATTCGTGTTTGGAGAAAGAATTATTGGCCAGATGGAGACTGGCTTAGAGAGATGGGAAGCAGAGATAATGAAGACCTCAGCTAAGACAATGGCTGTGGGAAATGGGGAAAGGAATGGATTTTAGGAAGTGCAATAAAAGTACCTGGTGACCAAGTGAAGATGGTAAGTGGGGAATGAGTTGAACAGAGGGTGATTATAAGGTGTTGAGTGGGATAGACAGGGGAAGGTATATTGTGGAGCCATTAATAAAAATCTTGTAAGCTATAGAAGGAGTGGGCTTGGGAAGCAGATTGTAGAGAAGAGAGTGATGAACACATTAGACATACGTAAGTTGAATATGCCCAGGAAATATCCAGATGAAGTAAGCAGTTGGGTATACAGGTCTGGAACTTAGGGACAATGGAAGAGGCCTGTGGTAGCACCACACTGGTGCTGAAGAGTCTTATATTTGTCAGTAGTGGCCTATAGATATTATTTTCATATCATATGGTAACTTCCAGATGACTTTCTCCAGACACTCAAGGCTTTCTCAGGATACCTTGGAGGATAATTTCAAAATGATAGACAGAATTCTGGGTTCAGGACACACAGATAGTAAAGATGCATTTAATTATCACTCCCTCATGTGAAAAATTAATACTTAGTTCCATTGTAAGATCTGTGAAGACCTCTCCAGAACTCATACTCCAAGTCTTTAGTTACCTACCCATGTGTGGGAGAGTCCTGCCTTCATGAAAACAAGGAGGATGATCTGCTCCAACTAATCCCAGACCCTTACAGAATAGGTCTTTAGGTCTGACTGCCAATGCTCAGCTTGGGATCTTGTGTGACCTGCATGGAAAAAAAAAAAACCTTGAACTTAGAGCTAGACATACATATATGGCTTAACCACTTACTAGCTGACCTTGAACAAGTTCTTGAATCTCTCAGCTTCATTTACCTTATATTTAAAATAGGGATAATTATTACCAGCGCAATGGTTAGAATCAGAATCAAATTGAAAAAGAAAGTTCATTTAATGTGCTACATAAATTGTAAGACTCTATAAAAATGTAAGGGGTTTTATTATTATTTCTAATCTTGCCTCTTGAAACTACCAAAATTAGATGGACTGTGTAGGTGTAGGCTCTGGGCAGCATCTTCGGCCCAGACTTGCAGCTTTCTTATTGTATGACATATTGTAAGGCAGTAATTATAAGTCTCATTCCATCACATCAGCGACGTGCATCTACTCTGACCTCTTTTGTACTTCTTAGCTAAATTGGTCAGAGCCCAAAAAAGTCACTGCTTTGCTAATGTTTATGCAGGTTGTATACTGCACAAGGACTCCTGGGAGTCTATGGGGCTGAAAGCAGCCAGCATTCCACCTGCTATGCCTTAGACCCACCCCACTTGCAGCTGAGTCCACATGGAAGCGATACCTTTTTCTAATTCTCACCAAGGTGCTGATTTAACCCATTTAATCCAATGGCCCTGAATCTGACCATCAGTCAATGGCTTGGATATATTTGTGATTTTTCCCTCCCCCAACCAGGGAAAACTGACTTATTCCAGCCCATGAAGTTCGAATGTTATGCCAACATCAAAAACTTTCAAGTAAACAGAGTCTAAGCTGTTGATGAAAAAAAGGAAGTAACCACAGATTGAGACTTCAAATGGAAAAACATTTCTGAGAGAGCCAACCCCACCCCTTCACTTCACAGATGAGCAAACCACAGTTCAGGGAGGGGAAGTGTGTGCCCAGTCACACGGCTGGTTAACAGAGGGGCCAGAATCCAAGTTCCGTCTGTCTTTGCCCAGGAATACCCAGTACTACCCAGGATCTCGATCACCTTATGTATCTTGCACCCAAGGACACAGCTAGGCATTCAAATGCCTGCAAAAAGGTGAAATGAAAAGATTATACTTGAAGTTCAAATCCTCCCCCAGTGGCCTCTGGGACAAACTAGGAGAAGACTCTCAAGGGATACAGGTAGTTCTCAACTTTTTTTTTTTTGAGACAGAGTCTTAGTCTGTCGCCCGGGCTGGAGTGCAGTGGCGCAGTCTCGGCTCACTACAACCTCCGCCTCCGGGTTCAAGCAATTCTCCTGCCTCAGCCTCCCAAGTAGCTGGGATTACAGGCACCCGCCATCTTGCCTGGCTAATTTTTGTATTTTTAGTAGAGACGGTTTCACCATGTTGGCCAGGCTGGTCTCAAACTCCTGGCCTCATGATCCTCCCACCCTCGACCGCCAAAATGCTAGGATTACAGGCGTGAGCCACCATGCCTGACCAGTTCTGAACTTTTAAGCCAACCTCCATACCACCCTTGTCTCTTCTGTTTCCTCAGTTTCAATCCTTAAAGTTTTCTCAGGAGTTCCCAAAGACCCCTCAAGAAAGACAACAATATTGGGTTCCTTAATTAACTAAAACCCTCTTAGCGTTTCATCAAACATGTCAGGAAGAGTGTTTTTGCCTCAGAGATCAGAATGAGCTAGAGACCAGTGGATGAGCCGGCATTACACATCCAATATCAATATGTAACTTACCATTCAGTGAAAAGGGCTCCAGGTGAATACTGGGCATTCAGGAGACTTGTCACAGGCACAGTAAGGGAGATAAAGACAGTGGCACCATAGACTTCTTCCCTCCCTGCACAGCAAAAGGAAAATTGGGTGCAAATTCTTTGAAGGGCCGGAGCCCAGCCCAGGTTTCTAGCTTTTCTCCCACATTGGTCTAAGCCATCTGAACAGAGCATCATCTGGGGACATGAGTAGACACTTAGTGGAGACTGGAAAAGGGTAGCTACATTCCAAAATGAGCCTCACACAAGCACAAGATTTCTTTCTCAGGGGCAACTCCCAAGGGACATGGCAGCATCCAAACGCAATCCCCACCCCTGGGAAGAGACTTGCTCCCACGATTGTAAGCAAGCCGCTCCATGGAGTTTGTCACTAAGAAATAAAACCTAACCATTGCTGTATTTCTTGGTCAAAACGGAAGAGATGATTGTATTTAGAAGCCACTGCAGACATGCCCTTGCTCTTGACTATAACTTTCTCCCGGTGGGATATTTTTCAGTTAAGTTTTATTCTCCTCAAATACAACCCTAACTTCAAACTGGATAGTCTTCAGAAAAGCCCATCCACCTTTTTTTTTCTTTTTTTTTCTTTTTTTTTTTCAGTTTTCCAGG